GCCCTAGAGAGAGAAAGTGCGAAGAACACATCCTAGAAGCTGTCCTAGAGCTGGATTTCATCGAATCGAGCCTGGAGATCGTCATAGGAGTGGAAATCATCGTCCCGGAGCAGATTATCCTCATCGTTATGAGTATGACTAATCCGATTCTTGTTTTCTCTTCTCTCTCTATGGAGTAAGACCCTTCTCTCACTTGGGTATGAAGAACCCTAGTTCCTTGTGTTAGGGATTTGATTGTAATGACTTGGGATGATATTACTGCTTGATTTTAATCGAATGACGCATGTTTCATGAATTGATTTGAGTCTGATCAGCTTGTCTCAATTTCTGCTTCAACCTGAGATAGATAGAATCTGATTAGGTTGTTAGAGCCTCTTCATTCGATAGTAGGAGATTGGCTATACGAGAGTTAGCCAGTTGACTGCTTTGTACTGGTGTTCTTGACGCCAGTAGTGGAGTTCTGTGTTCATAGCCTCAGCTTTCTATCCCGGTGAAGACTAGTCGTCTGCCGGGTAGTTAGACTGAGAGGGCTTGGTCAGCTTAAGAGATTCCAAGCTACTGTCGGATCTTCCGCAGTCTAATCAACAGTAAATCAACCCAGGGAATTGCAATTGAACCTAACTAAGGGGCTAGGGGGATTCAATCCCGAGTGACTCTTGCCTGCTTTAGAATTTCGAACAATTTACTGCTTTCTTGTTGCTTTTACTTTTCACAACAATCACTCGACTTAGTTTGCTAGATAATAGAGAATCACGGAGTAAGCAGTAGATCTAGACCCCGGGTTGATAATTAAACTTGCCTATACTGCAGTCCCTTTCATTGGTTACACTTGGCCATTGTTAGGTGTTGTGTTTTAGCGTGTCAACTAGCTAATGCGTTCTTTCGCTTCAAGCCATTAACTAATTAGTGAGGAACAATGAAGGATAGCTGACTCGCTCCTAATATCACACTTAAATCCCAGCTAAGGCCCAAGTATAAAACTTAAATGGGTGCAATATAGGGAACTATGTTTAAATATAAACCCGGGCCGGTCCATGTACCCCTACTTCAATTGTTTGGAACATTATTTAGTGGAATGAGGTTTGAAAGAATCTCTACGATCTACGATTAAAAATGCAAGGCTTGAAAAGTAAAAGGGTTGAAACTCTTGGTGAGAAGCTTCACTCGGGAGTTGTTTCCCCCTAACTAACTACCATGAACTATGGGATCGAATGAATTGTGTGCGACAAGGCGATTGCAAACCGTAGGAGGAGCAACAGTGGTTGGAAACCACACTCTCAATCACTAGGCCAAGGAATGCATTATAGGCTACGAATGCAGCCCTCTTGGCCCAAGAAAAAGAGGGTTGACTTACCTTCTCCTTCAAACCGGGGTTTGGACGGCTTAATCACAATTAACCTAGATGTCTAACTTGAGTTTAGAGGTTTGTATTACATTAACCTAGTTAGGAGGCATGGAATACCTAAGAAAACCCAGCTGGATTTGAGCCTCTTAAGGAAAGGGGGCTTCTCTCTAAGCTAGGTTAGGTTAGCAAAATAGATTGCCTAGCACACAAAATGCACAAGCATCATGAACAATAACTCAAAACTTTAAATTAAATATCACCCATACACAATCATTCAATCCACACAATCAACTACATGGTAGAAGTTAGGGTTCTACAACACCCAAGTGAATAGAAGACTACTCCATGCTAAAAGAAGGAAGAACACAAAGGAAAAAGGAAAAAACCATCATTGTGATGCCTTAATCCTTCCTTGTGCTTGTAGAGATCCTCCCTTGAAGAGGAACTTCCCAATTATTGGCTTGGAGCAAACCCTAGCCTCTTCTCCCTCTTGGTTCGTGACTTTCTCTCTCTAGGGTTTCAAGAAGAAGAAGGTTTCACGGTCCCAGTTCTCCCTCTTGGTTCATGACTTTACGCTCTCTTTTTATACACTGATCGAGCTCAGTTTGCGGTCCCAGTTCACGACCCTGAACATCTGGCTTGGACCGTGAACACAGGCAAAACGCACCGCTTTCATTTGTTGAGTTCGCGGTCTCTGGCTTCAATTCACTGTCTTACGGCCGTGAACTGACTCAGTGTCAGTAACTTCGGAAACCTCTCTAGACGCCCTTCAGTTCACGGTTTGTGGCTTCAGTTCACGGTCCTAGCGACCATGAACTCACAGCTTGGATTGTGAACAACAGCTGTTTCCTCCTATTAGAATCTGAAAGACATTGAAACACAGCAAACCTAGCGTAAAACCACCATTTATGGAACTCAAATGCCACAAACGCTAAAGAGAAACAAGGATAAAAACTGTAAATTTAGGCCTGAATCAATAGCACATGATTAAGTGTAGGCCTCTACGAGCCATAATTGATGGTCTATAGCATCGATGATGTAACAATCAAGCATTTATACTAGATAAACAACAAATGACACTAAGCACAATTCATATAGTAGCACACTATAGAATCATAAGCATCGATGGTAAAGAAGAATTAATACTAGATAAACAACAATGATGATCGGGTCTAAATGCACACATTTTATCCCTCATTTCTTGATGTTTGACTTTTCTTTTCATCGTCTCTTGACCTATTTTACGCTAGGTTGTGCTTGTTTTGTTACATTTCAGGTCCTAGCACGTGTGGAAAGGTCGAGGACGATTTTCGGGTCGATTGGAGGTCGAAAAGCGCAAAAAAGTGAAAAGAATATCGTGACAATTGCCGCGAGACCGTGAAGTGCGAAGGGTCCAGAGCCATTTGTAGTTTCACTGGACTCAAGTACAGCCCCAGAACCTGAAGTGACTAAGTAAAGCGACGCGTTTTTGGCCCGAGATAACAATCCCCCCCTTGAGTTCACGGTCGTGAACTGGGACGGTAATTTGAGCCGATCTGGGTATAAATGAGGAGTTGAACTGAAGAAGAAATGATAGCTTTTTTCTAGAGTTTTAGTTTCAGAATAAAGGAGAGTTTCTAGTGAGAGATTAGGGTTTCCTCTTTGATCGTCCCGAATATCACAATTAATTCCCGCCTAAGGTCCAAGTATAAACCTTAGTCAGGTGCAATACAGGGCAAGTATGTTTAAATATCTACTCGGGTCGGTCCGTGAACCTCTACCTCAGTCATTTGAATCATTATCTAGCGAATCGGTTTTGGTTGAAAAGTTCGCTAATTAAAGTAAAGCAAGGAAAAAGTAAATGATTTTGAAATCTCTTTGTGAGAAGGATCACTCGGGTGTCGTTTCCCCCTAGCTACTACCATGGTATGTGAATCGAAGTGATTGCTATGGGCAAGGTGACCGCGAAGCTCTAGGGGATGCAAATAGGGTCATAGACCACACTCTCGATTGCCAAACCGAGGGATACATTATAGGCTCTTCAAGTGGCCCTTTCGATTAAAGCAATCGATGGTTGACTTACTCCCTCACTCAACCCAATGGTTGGCCGGCTTAATCGAGCATAACCAATTTGCTTAATCCAACATCGAGGTTTGCCCTAAATTAAACTAGATAGGTGACTTAAAAAGCCCTAGGAATCCCAACTCAATTGAGCCTCCCTTGAAAGGGGTTTTTCCCGCGCTAATCTAGGTTAAATTGGACAATTAGATTGCTAAGCACAAACATGCACAATCCACATGAAAAATACCTCAATCATTGAATTAAACAACACCCATAAACAATCATTCAATTCACATAACAAAAACTACATGGTAAATAGTTAGGGTTTCACAACACCCAAGTGAAAAAGGAAACTACTCCATGCTAGAAAGGGGAGAAACACAAGGGCAAGAGGTAGAAACCATCATGGAGATGCTCCCAATCTTCTTTGCACTTGTGATGAAATTCTCTTGGGGAATCTTCCCAATTCACCACTTGGAGCAAACCCTATCCTTCCTTCTCCTTTGGTTCGTTCTTTTAAACAGGGATCGGGCTTAGTTCATGGCCTCAATTCACGGTCGTGAACTCTTGAACGTGTCCGTGAACTCAAGGGTGGCTTTGCTTGCTCAGCTTCACGGGCAACAACTCCATTTCATGGTTTTAGTGACCGTGAACTCACCTAGCATTAGTAACTTAAGATTTGGCCCTGGACGCCTCGATGTTCAAGGGAAACAGCTCCTCTTCACGGTCTAAGCAGACCGTGAACTGACTGTTTTTCACCTCTTCTTCCGGAAACATGCTAAAAAACAAGAAACCTCGTGTAAAACCACCTATTTAGGAGCACAATTGCCACAAATGCCTAAGGAAAACAGGGGCAAAGTATGTACAATTAGGCTTGAATCCCTCTTCGTATTCTAGAGAGAGAAAGGACCATTCAAAGGAGGAAGAAGGAGATTTGGCTCATTTCAAGCTAGAGGAGTGAAGGTTTCTTCTTCTCATGGGAGATTCATGATGCGAACCCGCTCACCCCTCATGATGTAATTCAAGATCAAATTATACCTGTAACACCCCAAACTTCGAGAAATTTATAAACAAATTAAATTTTACGAGGAAACAAGAATTCCATTCCTACGCAAGTAAGTTGCGATTGAAACTATTGATTGATGACATTTTAAGAATATTCTGGGTCAATTTATCAATAATCAGTATCTAAGCTCGACACTCTAAGTTAAGAAATTCTTCTACGATCACGTAGAATTTTACAGATCTTAATTCCGAGTCCAAACGAGTGAGATAAGTTAGTCCAAAGTGGAACCTATCGTTAAAGTAACGTTTGTGTACCTAAAGTTAAAACGAACGTATCTTATTCGTTTGATATCGAAATAACGAGCCGTTTGCGGTCACGCGATCGTATCGACAGGGAGAACATTTTAGATTGAACAGATATAACCCAGAACGTCTATATAAATTTGACGATCACCGACAATTAAAGGAAAACAAAGGGGTTCTGAGTTTATATAATGGAGGAGGAATTAAAGAGCTCGACAACTCCTGCCCCCTGCATGTGCCGACTTTAATCAAAGGGGCCTTTCTATTTTGGAAGCTCTTGTAGCACTGTCGGTGTTCACTTCTTTCTCTCGACAACACAAAAGAAGCAGGCTGCTTCATTAATTCCTTCAACGAACAACAACTTGTACAGCAAACATCATTTACTCTATTCATTCCATCCTTCTTCCTCTCGGCACAAACCATAACCCAGGCCCCTTCCATTCTTATATTCTCAAACCAAGGACAGCAGCAGCCCTCTCCATCTTCTTCTTCTCGTACAAGAAACCAGGAGCCAGCACCACCTTCCTTCCTCCCCTCTCTCGACAAGCAAGCAGCTCGGGGCCGAGCATTACCATCACTCTCCTCCTTCTCGTCCAGTAAACAACTGAGCATCACCATTCTTCTCGTCAACAAGCAACAGCAGCTCCAGCTCATTTCCCTCGCATCAAAACACGTCCAGAGGTAAGGGCTCCGAGCTCGGAACTCTCCTACCTCCAAACTTCGGTTAAACTAACCGCAAGACGCGGTTATAACGTAGTGCGACGACGATCCCGGCGTATTGTACTTCAACGAAGCTTCAAAAGCCTGGTACCATCTCGAAGAGGACAATCCCAGGAACGTCACGGAGTCAACGAAACTAAATTCCGACGTTAGACGAGGGAGAACGGAGCTATGAAAGTTTGAGACGTGAGCTGAAACGTACAGGTACCTGTCTGCGAGAAAATATCTAGATTAGTCCCCCATGTTTATAGTATGAGCAGATTGGTCCCCTACGTTTCAAATTTTGACAATTGACCGCAAGTAGTAGTTTTCCTAATGGACATGTTTACTTCCGACGCGTTTCGATGAATATTTTTATGATTTGATAATTTTATAAATTAGAGAATATTATTTCGATGACTGGATAATTATTTGAGAATTTTATGAGCTGTATTTATAATTCTAAAAATTCGTAGAACATAGGTTTTAGAAAATTAAAATACTGTATAAGCGACTTCGGTATGTTTGATAATTTTATACGTAACTAGGGTGCAATAAGGTTACTCGTAATAAAATTGGAGATTTTAAGAGGTGATTTAATATTTATAAAAATTAAACTAAGGACGGTTTTATTTAACTAAAATAGTAAAAGAAGGCTCCTGACCCATTTGATAATTTTACAAGAATCAAGAATGACGTTTTGATATTATAAAATTATAGATTTAAGGAGGATAGTTTTTAGTGAGTTAAAGGTGATAAATTGAGCAGTATCAACTAAAAGGATATACGTTTAAATTATAGGTTTAAGGTAGCAATCGGAGTAAGGGTTCCACATCAAGGGAAATAAGTAATCGCCACAAGAGGCGAGTGTAAAGGGGGTAAAATCTACGCCTTACATATTACGTTTGAGATTTGCTGCTATGTGATATATATGCTTATGTATGTTTACGTGATGCATGATATTACGTGTAAGTTATGTTTTCAGTCATATAGTTGATGACATGTATTTAATTACTAGTAAGTTACTTTTAAGGAGTACAACACCTTCAAGGAAGGTGTAAAGTTTTAAGAGTTTTGAGTCGCTAGCGCCAGTCCGTTGCCCATATGAGATTTTGAGATGAGCAGCAGTTATGCTCTTGAGACTTTTAAGACGAGCAGCAATTATGCTCTTGAGAATCATGGTGAAGAGCCACCACGATAAGTATAAGATGTTAGGGGGAATGATCGTTACGACTCCCCTAACTAAGTTTAAGTTCAAGTAAGCCTGGATGGGCTCTCATACGTATGAGATGGGCAACCGGACTAGCTAGTGGGGGATCCCAGTGTCGGTTAAAGTTTTGAGAGTGGGGTTAAGAGTAAATCCCACATTTTAAGAGTTAAAGTTTAAAGGGCGAAAGTATAATCAACTTCCACTAATTTATTGTTTGAGGAACACTTAAGGTAATAATCCGTAAGTGTTTCAAGTTTAAGTAATGGCGTAGACTGACCCCAACTCACTCACCAGATCGTAGAGGAGGAGATCAAGATCAGATAGTTCATGGACAACAGGTTAGAGGGGCTAAACATCAGCGTTGATAAAGCATGGCGGACCAAGCATCAGAGTAAGCGTTGGGGAAAACTTTTAAGTTATTTGGACTTTGTGGTTGAAAGTTAAGAATTGGAGATTCTGGTCGTTTGTTTCTTTTAAGAATATGATTTGGAGTTTTGCCCACATGTTTAGGGCTTGTCATTGAGATTTCAAATTATTAATGTTTGGTGTATTTATTTTAAGTGTGTTTATGAATAATTTTTAAATATACCCCGGGGTAGAAATGTCTTTTACATGTCTTAAAAAGGTGGGATGTAACATTTTGGTATCAGAGCCGGTCTTCCTCTGTTTCTTGGTTCCTAAGAAATACTAGAATATCGGTCTTAGTTTTTAAAAATTTGTTTAAAGAAAGGAAAGTGAGTTTTAAGTTAAAGGTCTGGCCAAACGAGTCAAGAATTTTCTTTTAAGAGTCTATAGAATCTCCAGTCTACTCTCAACCATGTTAAGAAAGAAATAACTGAGTTCTAACGAGATCGTATGAATCTACAGAGCAAGCGTTGGCCAGAATCCCGCCCCGCCTGTGCCACCACGAGTGAGACCTCCACCGGATTACGTAGCTTTTCGGAAAAGAAAGGTGGAGGATTTTAAGGGGGACCGTTCAACGGACCCCATGGAGGTTGAGCAGTGGCTAGCTAAGGTAACTCGTACCCTGATCGAGATGAGGGCTGATGACGAAGACAGGGTACTGCTGACAGTATCTTTGCTACAAGACACTGCTTACAATTGGTGGGTAAACAAGCCAGTTAGCCGAGAGGACCCACCAACCATCACTTGGCCAGAGTTCGTGCAGCTATTTTGAGACCACTTTGTACCAGAAGCCTATCGGATCGCGAAGCAGAGGGAATTCTTGCTAATAAGGCAGAGGTGGGGCAACGAAGGAAGAGAAAGCGTGGCTGACTACAAGGCGAGATTTGACAAACTGCTTGCCTATGGAGGACCTCAATTTCAGGATGCACATGCACAACGCATCCACTACCTGGAAAGCCTGAAGCCTCCTTTTAGGCGTCAGCTGAGTTTGCTGAATTGGAACAACAAAGAGGAGATCTATCAAGCAGCTCTCTGGTTGGAGAGGGCAGATACAGCCCTGCACGAGGAGGGGATGCAAAGAGAAGGGAACAAGAGAAAGGCTGCCAGCTTTTCTGAGGGGCCAAGCCAGCTGAGTCATTCGAGGAGGAGACCGAGCCAGAGCTACTATGGGGTCACTCAGAGCCATGCCGGCTCAACCCGATCAGGGCCAACCTACATTCACCGGGACCCATGTAACAAGTGTGGGAGAACTCACCCGGGAGAGTGTAAGGTACATATGAGAGACATATGCTATCACTGCAATGAGCCGGGCCACCATGCTAGAGATTGCTCTAGGAAAGGAGGGCAAGGGAGAGCTCAGTCTGAACAATCAGTCAGGGGCGGAGGAGGAAGAACACAAGCCGGTCAACAGTTTAACAACAATCCAAACCGGTCCTATCACCAACAGGGAGGCAATGCAGGGCGGTTCAACCGCAACGAGCGAGATCGAGGGCAAGGATCTCAAGTGGCTGGGCAACCAAGACTGTTTGCCATGAGGAGGTAAGAAGCTGATACTGCACCCGATGTGGTGACTGGTATGATCTCACTTTACCATCAACCAGCCTTTGTATTATTCGATTCTGGTTCCACGCACTCTTTCATATCGACCAAGCTTGCTAGGATCATAGGGATCCCATCTGTGAGATTGGGTCAGAATTTAGGGGTAAGAACCCCAGTAGGGGATACCCTAATAGTAGACTCGGTCATTCGGGGTTGTCTTATCACTGTGGCGGGCCACAAATTTGAGGCGAACCTGATTCTGCTACCCTTCGACGAATTCGATGTTATCTTGGGCATGGATTGGCTATCCAAGAACAGAGCAAAGATGGACTGCTATAAGAAGGAGGTTAGTCTGGAAATAGAAGGAAAAGGCACTGCACTATTCAAAGGGACTAAGAAGCTGATTCCTGGATGCTTAATCTCAGCGATTAAGGCATTCTCATTGATTCAAGATGGATGTGAAGCCTATTTGGCTCATGTCAAGGAGGTGCAAGAGAAAAAGATAGAAGATGTACCTATCGTAAGGGAATTCCCTGAGGTATTTCCCGAAGACCTTCCTGGGCTACCGCCACAACGGGAGGTGGAATTTGATATTGAAGTGATTCCTGGCACAGCACCGATATCTATTCCTCCATACCGCATGGCGCCAGTGGAGCTAAAGGATTTGAAAGAGCAATTGTAGGAGCTATTAGACAAGGGCTTTATTCGCCCTAGTGTATCACCTTGGGGAGCACCGGTATTGTTTGTGAAGAAGAAGGATGGCAGTATGAGATTGTGCATCGACTATAGGAAGCTAAACAAGGCCACCATCAAGAACCGCTATCCTTTACCAAGGATAGATGATCTCTTCGACCAGCTACAAGGAGCGAGGGTGTTTTCGAAGATTGATCTGCGGACAGTGTATCATCAGTTGAGAGTGACAGATGGTTCAGTACCCAAGACGGCTTTCCGGACCCGGTATGGCCACTATGAATTCTTGGTCATGCCATTCGGACTAACTAATGCACCGGCAGCCTTTATGGCGCTAATGAACCGGGTTCTTCATGAATACTTGGACAAGTTTGTCATCGTCTTTATAGATGACATACTCATTTACTCGAGAAGTAAGGATGAACACGAAAAGCACCTGAGAGTTGTTCTCGAGAAGTAAGGAGGTACCTGTCTGCGAGAAAATATCTAGATTAGTCCCCCATGTTTTTAGTATGAGCAGATTGGTCCCCTACGTTTCAAATTTTGACAATTGACCGCAAGTAGTAGTTTTCCTTATGGACATGTTTACTTCCGACGCGTTTCGGTGAATATTTTTATGATTTGATAATTTTATAAATTAGAGAATATTATTTCGATGACTGGATAATAATTTGAGAATTTGATGAGCTGTATTTATAATTCTAAAAATTCGTAGAACATCGGTTTTAGAAAATTAAAATACTGTATAAGCGACTTCGGTATGTTTGATAATTTTATACGTAACTAGGGTGCAATAAGGTTACTCGTAATAAATTTGGAGATTTTAAGAGGTGATTTAATATATATAAAAATTAAACTAAGGACGGTTTTATTTAACTAAAATAGTAAAAGAAGGCTCCTGACCCATTTGATAATTTTACAAGAATCTAGAATGACGTTTTGATATTATAAAATTATAGATTTAAGGAGGATAGTTTTTATTGAGTTAAAGGTGATAAATTGAGCATTATCAACTAAAAGGATATACGTTTAAATTATAGGTTTAAGGTAGCAATCGGAGTAAGGGTTCCACATCAAGGGAACTAAGTAATCGCCACAAGAGGTGAGTGTAAAGGGGGTAAAATCTACGCCTTACATATTACGTTTGAGATTTGCTGCTATGTGATATATATGCTTATGTATGTTTACGTGATGCATGATATTACGTGTAAGTTATGTTTTCAGTCATATAGTTGATGACATGTATTTAATTACTAGTAAGTTACTTTTAAGGAGTACAACACCTTCAAGGAAGGTGTAAAGTTCTAAGAGTTTTGAGTCGCTAGCACCAGTCCGTTGCCCATATGAGATTTTGAGATGAGCAGCAGTTATGCTCTTGAGACTTTTAAGATGAGCAGCAATTATGCTCTTGAGAATCATGGTGAAGAGCCACCACGATAAGTATAAGATGTTAGGGGGAATGATCGTTACGACTCCCCTAACTAAGTTTAAGTTCAAGTAAGCTTGGATGGGCTCTCATACGTATGAGATGGGCAACCGGACTAGCTAGTGGGGGATCCCAGTGTCGGTTAAAGTTTTAAAGTTTTGAGAGTGGGGTTAAGATTAAATCCCACGTTTTAAGAGTTAAAGTTTAAAGGGCGAAAGTATAATCAACTTCCACTAATTTATTGTTTGAGGAACACTTAAGGTAATAATCCGTAAGTGTTTCAAGTTTAAGTAATGGCGTAGACTGACCCTAACTCACTCACCAGATCGTAGAGGAGGAGATCAAGATCAGATAGTTCGTGGACAACAGGTTAGAGGGGCTCAACATCAACGTCGTTAAAGCATGGCGGACCAAGCATCAGAGTAAGCGTTGGGGAAAACTTTTAAGTTATTTGGACTTTGTGGTTGAAAGTTAAGAACTGGAGATTCTGGTCGTTTGTTTCTTTTAAGAATATGATTTGGAGTTTTACCCACATGTTTAGGGCTTGTCATTGAGATTTCAAATTATTAAAGTTTGGTGTATTAATTTTAAGTGTGTTTATGAATAATTTTTAAATATACCCCGGGGTAGAAATGTCTTTTACATGTCTTAAAAAGGTGGGATGTAACAATACCTCTACGTGGACCATGGGTCAAGAGACGAATTAAAAGGTTCAAAGAGAGCTTGGGAGCATTTAAGGTGGGTGAAAACAACTCTATAAGAAAGTTTACGAGTTTGTTGATGTGAAATCGATTCGCAGAACATATAATTCTCGTGGACCAAAGATGAAGGCCCGAATACAACGATACAAGGATCAAATGAGATTGTTCTATATGGATGTGGAATTTCATCGAGGAAAGCCCATCAAATACTACAATTTGGGGACCTGAATCAAGAGAAGATGGGCTTGGAGGAAGGACTGAAGAATTCGTCCCAAGAGGAAGGATTTCCCCGTGGTGTGCACAGAAGGTGTGAAAGGAATATCAAGTGTGAACACAAGCCATGTGAGGGAGGATTTTAAGGCTAGAATTAAGGGTTGAAAAGTCAAAGTTGTTTCCTTTTCTTTTTTACTTGTTTGTTAAGATTTTTGTTTTCTTTTTTGAATTAGGATTTGTTTATCGTTAGTAGTTTTGGATGCAAATTCGTTGCCTATATAAGGAGGCCAAACTATTGTATTTTTCCTTCAAGTTTCAGCAATCAAATACAAGGGTTTTCGAGTTCTTCAAGAACGGGTTTTGCTTAATCTCTCCTTTGAGGATTCGGGAGAATTGAGTGGCCTTTTATCAAATAGAGAGTACGTCTAGTTGTGCCGAGCATCGACTATATTGGTTGGCCTCTTCCACAAGTTCGAGATTGTTTGGAAGGTTTCATATAACTTCTGTCCCTTCTCACGAGTTCAGATTTGTTTGATCGATTTCGCAAGTTATCTTTATTTTAGTGTTATTCAAGAAAGGAGAAAATCCCTAAAAAGTTCGAGCAACAAGGAGGAAAGATTTTCATCTCTTCATGGTTTTTTCTTTTCTTTCCCTTGTTTTCCTTTGCCTAGCTATGGAATAGGTTCAAGTTCGAGCACATAAAGTGAAGCATAGGTTCAAGTTTCAAGTCAATCAGAGATCAATTGTCGATTTGGGAGAAGAAACTCGGGCATGACCTGAAGAAGAATGGATTTCTGCCTCATTTATGGACAAAGAATCATGCAAGCTTGTCATGAAAAGAAAGAGGACGAGACTACAAGCGTCTGGGATCAAACGGAGACTGGTTCAGAGTCCGGATGAGGGTGAAATGAAGCATTGAATATAGGGGAACAAGTTCGGCAGTAAAAACACGGGCCGGCTACCCTAAAAACACGGCTGTGTCCATATTTAGGCACGACCCTTGGGTGTTTGGGAACCAAAACCCATCTCTCTCTTTCCTTTGGCTTGAATCTGCCTAAAAAACCCGTTCTGGGCAAAACACGGTCGAGGGCACAGGAATCTTGGAGCTATTTTGGAGGATTTCTTCGCCATTGGAGCTCGGGAATCAAGCTTGGAGATGGAGATTGAAGAGATGGATCAGATTTCTGCAGTCTCTCTCTTCTCTATGGAGTAACTTCCCTTAGGTTTGAGGAACCCCAGTTCCATGTGTAGGATCTTTCTTGTATAAAGTTTTGGATGCTATATTGTTTGATTATAATCGATTGAGGCATGATTTATTGAGTCAATTCAATCTTGATCAAATTCTCTAAATTTTTCCTTTAACCTATGATAGATAGTATCTGATTAGGTTAAGAGAGCTTCCTTGATTGATAGTGGTGCATTGGTTGTGCGAGAGTCAATCAATTCACTACTTTGTACTGGAATTCATTCTAGTAGTGGAGATCTGTGTGAATCACCTTAGAAGTCTATCCCGGTGAAGGCTAGTCGCCTGTCGGGTATTCTATCTAAGAGGGCTTGGTCTGCTTAAGAGATTCCAAGCTAATTTAGGATCTTCCGCAGTTTAATCAACAGTAGATCAACCAAAGGTAATTGCAACTTGGACCTAATTGAGGAGCCAGGGGGAATCATACCTAAGTGAGTTCCCAACTTGTAATTAGTAGAGTAGTTAGTAGAGTAGTTTAGTAAATCAATCCTTAATCTAGTTTGCTAGATAGTGAACTGAAGCTAAGTAATAGTAACTCTAGAGATCCGTGGATTCAATATTTATTACTTGTGCCACTATACTGTAGTCCCTTTCATTGGTTATACTTCGCATTGTTAGGTGTTGTGTTTTAGTGTGTCAAGTTTTTGGCGCCGTTGCCGGGGACTCTCTAGATTATTAGGAAAGGCAAAAGTTTGTTAATTTAGCTTTGCTTTCTGTTGTTTTTCTTTTCCACCCTTGCTTTTCACTCGGGTGTTTTTGTTTTTGTTGGTGCATATCTGAATCATGGATCCTAATGGCTTCGCCAACCAGTGGGGGTATCCACCACCACCCGAGTGGTATTACCCCGAGACTTCCTGGAGCAATCAAGGAGCAGAAGACTATGGATTCGGGTTTCAGTACCAATCCCCTTACTACGGAGAACAATAAGACCCCTGGGCATATCAAGAACAACCTCCTTATCAAGAAGAATTCCTCCCACAACCAGAAGGGCCATCAGATCTTGATATAGCCACAGCCCTCACGGGCCATCCGGCAGAGCCATGCTACACCCCACAGCTAGATCCAAACTATCACTTGAGGCTTCTCGTGGAGCAGATTGCTCGAGTACCTAAGAGATCCTTTCCCGAGATGGATCCTCATATCCAGACCATTGCCCTAACTAACTTCTCCTTTCCTCGTGAAACAGAGGATACCCTTCGGAGCATAAAGAAGCACATAGAGGTCATTGAGAAAGCTTGTTTACAGTTTTCTCAAGACAACCTTTACGCTGCCATACAAGTAGAGGAGGAGGAAGAAGAAGAAGAAGGCTCCCAAGATAATCATTCAACACTTTTTATTAAAAGGTCTTAATCACGCAAGGAAAGGGTTTACTGGGATAGAGATATATCATAGAACAGAGCATGACGTATGTATTAACGTCGAGTAGTACCGTTTCCGCGTCCAGAACAACGTTTTGCTCGCACGTTCAATGATGGCTCCTTTTTTCTTTTCCATTATTGATTGACGACTTAATTTCCTCTCTTCCCCATTTTCCCCTGCCCAGTTTTTCTTCTCTTTCACAAGCTTTGCTCTTTTTTTTTTCTTTTCTTCTTTCATTGCCTCATCATCATCATGGCTTGTCGGCCGGTTCGTACCACGGCAGCGGCCAAGATTCCCATTCACAAGAATGGGTGACAATTGTATCCACCTCCATTACATAATGACTCGACTCATTGCTTGCCACTGTAGTTAGTGTTTTATTGGTTGGCAATATGGAAATATGCACACTATCCCTTACTCCCCCACATCATCACCCTATCCCATCATCTCAGTGTTCTCTTTTCGTCTCCACAATATCAACATAGTATATGACTTGTATTAAAACACGGTTGATGTACCCGAATCGCGCCAATCGTGCATCCTCTATCGTTGTATTGTAAGCGATTCCGAACCAGTTTGTAAATGTCACGAACGAACTTTAACAGAGCGAGTGATAGGAAATTTACAAACCAGTTGTTCTACTGGAAAAAAAAAGAGTTGAGGAGCATACAGAAGTGGTCACAGAATGCTCCCAAGATAATCATGATCAAGTGTATCCTCTGGTGGTAGATCACAACTTTCCCCATTTCCGCTCTGACATGCTGGGCCCGAGCAAGGAGATGCAAGCTGAACTTATTGAGAACATTGCATGGCGACTTGCTCTCAAATCCGTTATGGAAGAAGAAGAGAGAGAAAGGGTGAGGAAACAAGTTGTGGAGGATGAGGAAGAAATCAAAGAAGAGGTAGTTCTTGATCTTTTCCAAGGAGAGAGACCACATTTTGAAGAAGGAAGGGGGGTTGAAGAAGCGAGTGGTGTCCAGGCTGAGGATGAAGTTGAGGTTGAAGAGGCTTGCACCGGCCCTATAATACAAGTAATATCCCCACCAAACTTCGAGGAACGGTTTAGCAAGGACCCATTTGCAGTGTCTCTTTGCCAGACCAAGGCCACATCGACATCGGTCCCTCTTGCCGGACGCGATGGTAGCCAATCGATGTTGTCATATCTAGTTTGGGGCAAAGAGACGAGAGAAGAGAAGAAGATGCCTCGAGGGTGGAGACTTCAGTTGCATCAAGTGCACGAGCTTTCATCACCTTCCACACCACCTGCTCGTGACTTGAGACTCCACCTCAAAGATGAGAACCTCAACTTCAAAGAGGTTCTAGCATGGACCGAAACTTAGGAGCTACCGTCCGGCTCACAATGTTAAAGAAGCGCTTGTTGGAAGGTAACCCAACTAGTTGGTTCGCATTTCTTTCCCTATCTCTCCTCGGTTAAGTCAGTTCGTTCTTTGATTTTAGAGTCAATAACTCAACCTTTGTGAGATTTTGTGTGGTGTTTGTGTTCCGACTAATCGCTCCTCCTAGAATGCACCCCCTATCCCGCCCACCATCATTCACCCTTGATTTGGTAACTTCATTCTACCCTCCTTATCTTTCCTCCATTGAGGATAATGTCGTGCTTAAGTGTGGGGGAATGTTCGATTATGTATGCGTGTGAATGCTTGGCTGTATGTGTGTGCTTGGAGCCTAGTCCGCTGTCCAAATCTCAAGATTTGAGGGATCCAAGTATTGTTGTTTGCTTGATGCTTGATCGTATTGGCACTATGGATTTGATTGGTGAATTGAATGGCTTTCGAATTATTGCATGACAGCTTGATTGTAACTAGGACAACCTATGATGATGACTGAGACGTGCAGTAGAATTTGTAGGGGTTCATTTTTTCAACTGTTTGCTTACCAACTATGACTTGGATTGATCACTTGCTCTTGACAGTCGTTTATGCATCTAGTTCAGGGAATCAGAATGAGAGATAGAGCATATAGGTATCCATGTGAGATTTGAGCCTGCTCGTTTCTTTCTTGTGCCATTGATTCCTCTTCCATCATGTGTAGCATTCACGTTGTCATTAGCTAAGATGATGGAGGCATAGGATTAGTCCACGACCAAATTGACTGTCCTGATGTGTCATACCCCCTAGTCAGCCCTTATGAGCCGTGTGTTATCCTTTCTTTCGGTCTACAATGGAAAATCACCATTTTGCATGCATCTCTTAGAAGGTTCCACAGAGTGGTTTTTACATGTTCTCTGCTGTTTCTGCTAAATATAATGTGAGGGTTGGAGGTAGTTCTTAAGAAGTTGGGCATGTGTTTGAAAAATGTGCATAGGTGGTGGTTCTCTCAAGAAAGGAAAAAGAAAAGAAAAAAAAATGAATGAAAGCAAAAGAGAGCCACCACCAAAAATCTGAATAGTGCCCATTAAGTAGTGTTTCTTAGCAGTCTGGCTTAGAAATACTAACATTATTGTGACCTCCTTCGCTCTTGTGCTCTAAATAAATTGGGTAATGCACAATGGCAGAAAGAAAGTAAGTGGTTTAATTGGCGGTGAATGTGTTCGGTTTGGAACTGTGGAACCTTGTGCTATGAATACTTCAACCACCTATAAGGCCTATTCCC